TTGTTGGACACAGAAAAGGTTTCAGGATTTTCCAAGGATTTTTACTCCTTTATTGTTGGACACAGAAAAGGTTTCAGGGTTTTCCAAGAGTTTTTACTCCTTTATTGTTGGACACAGAAAAGGTTTCAGGATTTTCCAAGGGTTTTACTCATTTATTGTTGGACACAGAAAAGGTTTCAGGATTTTCCAAGGGTTTTTACTCCTTTATTGTTGGACACAGAAAAGGTTTCAGGTGAGGGCAGGAGAGCTCAGTGTCCTCCTCCTTTGAGGGACAAAATGTGGAAAATGTCCCAGCTGAGCTGCTCCAACCCTGCGAATTTAATTTGTCCAGGTGATGTAATCTGGACAATAATATCCTGTTTTAACTTAAAACCTTTTCTATTTTTCTTTCCAGAGAGAAAGAATTGTTTGATGAACAAATCCTGGGAAGCAAAAAGCTCAAGACTGAGCCAGAACCTGCTGAGAGCTGAGGAGTGGCCAGGGCTGTCCTGGGGGCCAACCAGGTGTAAATAACCATTGGTGATTTGTTGAAAACGTGACATTCTTTGTCAAGTTCTGTGTGTATATTCCCAAATCCTCTGCTCCCAGCTCTTGCTGCTGCTTCATGGCCTTGCTGTGTTCAGGATCCAGTGGATCCTCATCCATCAGTGCCCTCCTGGGGGGCTGCCAGAGACCCCCAGGGCTGTGCAGAGCTTGTGCTGCTCCAGCAGCTTCCACGTGGGTTCTTCCAGCCAAACACCCGACTTGGGAAGGGACCTTGTCCTGCTCCTGATAAAACCAGGGGGTTCCTGGCAGGGAAATCAGATTGGTGCCCAGATTGCTGCCACCTGGATCACAAACATTTGGGTTCTTGTTTTGTCCTCACAAGTGAAGTTCCATGGGGAAAGAATCCAGGTTTGCTCAAACAAAAATATTCCCTTTTCCTCTAACTGAACCAGTTTATTGCCTCTTGTGAGGCTGTGAATTTTGGGAGGCGTTTAATTGTCTTTTTCTCATCTAAATTCCCAATTTAATCCTGCCCAGGTCCCTGCTCATCGTTGTTGGAGCTGTGGCACATGGAAGCAGTGTCACCAAGAACTAATTAATGATGAATTATGATAAATGATACATAAAACCCCCTGATTAGGGTTTTTCTGTGATAATGAAATATGATCTCCTTGCTTGTCCAGTAAAACCCAAGATGATTTGAAATGAAGAAGTTGAAATTGGGATCCAGATGTCTATCCTGGCTGTAGTAATTATCTGAATATATTTTAATTACACTTTTAATTGCTCTGTGCTCTCTAATGAGTTTTTCCATGGAATCCTTATTCCCATTATCTCAAGTACCTCAATTATAGGGACAGGCCAGGAAGTGTGAGGGTTTTATTAAAGCCTGTGAGGAGGGATAATGAATTTTTTGGGTTAAGATAAAAAAATTAATGATGGAGTTAACTGAGGGCTGTGAGTGGCACTTTCCCTTTGGAGATGGAAAAGGGAGGGACTGCCTGCCCCTCATCCCAGTGCTCTGGGGTCGTTTGGAATTGGGGGGTTCAACTTCCCCCTCCTTTCCATGAACCCCCTGTTCCCTTTTCCATCAAAACTCCTGTCAGGATCCTGCTCCAGACCTCAGCTCTGGAATCCTGGAATGGTTTGGGATGGAATGGACCTTGAAGGGCAGCCATGGGCAGGGACACCTCCCACTGTCCCCTGGGTGCTCCAGCCTGGCCTTGGGCACTGCCAGGGATCATCCTGAGCTTGTGCCACCCCCTTGCAGTGCTGCCCCACTGGGACTGGGCACCAGGCTCAGCCTCACCATGTATCAATCATGTGGATCAATAAAGTGGGATGAAGTGATTCATCAACATTTGCTGCTTTTGTTTGATTTTTTTAATCTGTGCTGGGTGGTGCTTCCACCCCCAGGGTTACAGCAGGTGAATATTGGATCTTAGAGCTTTATCTGATGCATAAAAACTGTCTCAGTCTCACATTATTAAGCACTGGGAAATGAACTCGCTGGGTTTTATTCTTGTGTTTTATTCAAAATGGGCTGACACACACTACCTCTGCTTGTAATTGTCCAGTGTTAATTAATCCATGTTCCCTCAGCTGCCTCCTCAATGTAAGATAATCAACTCATATTTATTAATTCATATTTATTTAAAAATATTTATCATTAATCCAGTGTTACAGTCCACAGTCCTTCAGCCCTCTCTGGTGTGTGTGTTTCCAGGATATTAAAACAATCACGTGCAGAATCTGGGGAGGGGATAACGAGCTCCAAAGCCTCGGGGGTGTTTTGGGGTGAAAACAGCGCTTTTGCAGCCCGAATCCCCGCAGGGAAAAAAAGCTTCTGCCGAAACCCGGGATCGAACCAGGGACCTTTAGATCTTCAGTCTAACGCTCTCCCAACTGAGCTATTTCGGCTGCACGA